TATTTGGGAAGGCACATTGGGCACCTATACATGTGCAGTGAGGCTGCTGCATTGTGCTGTAATTATAGCGCATCGGAGCAGACTCGATTAAGCGTGGTAGTTACCGCACACCAGCACGTGTATTGGTGTCCCCACACTGAAAAATGATGGTGGGGGTGCTTTAACTAAAGCTCATCCACAACAAGCAGTAGTTAAAGCACCCCCGCTGCCATCTTCAGCGGGGGGGGGACACCAATACACAGGATGCTCTGGGTACCCCCCCCCCCGCAGCGTGTGTATAAAACACCCATTGTGTTAAGCAAGCTGTAGCACAGCCAAAGTTACTGCACAACGCACCCTAGGTCACTGAAAAGGCAGGTATTACTAGATCCTGCTCAGGGCAACAGAAAGACTCAAGTCTTGAAGGCAAGGTAAGGTTCAGGGGGAGAAAATAAAAGGTAAACTGGGGGAGACACCCTTACAGGAACCAGCTCAAGAGGCAGCTCAGACTAAAGTTTCTGAATTTTAGTTAAGAGCTAAGGAAAACTTTGCTTTGGGCTGGGGCGAGGGGGGGAAATAGAAGAGTTCTGGGCACTAGCCCAATATCTCTGCCACACTGGTATTTCGCCCATCCCCAGCCCAGGAGAACTGATAACAGAGCTACTCCATTCACACAACCATTTGCTACCCTGAAAACCTTAAACCCGAGACATTTTGGAATGATAGATTAAACCTTTGAGTATCAGAAGCAGACTCCTCTGTCTAAACCACAGCATAAAAATGCATGCAACACAGAACTGTTTCTGGTTTCATTTGCAGTGAAAAGACAAAAATAGCAGCAATAAAGCCATTTCAAAGGATGTGGATATGACCAGAAACACCCATTCTGGGAAATCAGGGCTTGTCTGCACTTGAAAATTAATGGGGATTGAGGTAGGATATGCATTTAAAAGCACAACAGCGTGTTCCTGCATAACCCCATGTGCAGACACACTCTTATCGTGGAATAAGCATGTCCATACACGAGTTATTCAGGAACAGCTCCACATGCAGACAAGCCCTTAGCAGCAGAGGTACAACACTGTGCCTTCACACCTTGCCCAGTAACCAGGGCCCCATGCTGCTACTTAGCACACTAACTTCTGGCAATCAATATCTGCATAGTAGCTTGTGTGCATATATATATTTGGGGAGTCCAAGTGGAGGCTCGCCCCCTCATCCCTGGTCACCTTTTGAGATGGGGCATTTCCCAGGGCAAAGAAAAGCTCACACGTGACAGGACCCATTTTTGCCACCACTTTTTCTTCTTTAAAAAAACAAAACAAAAAAACCCATGCACCAGGTTCACATTGGTCAGCTGATCAATTTGAAGTACAGCTCAGGAGGGATGACTTCCTGGTTTCATTCTCACCCGCTTTACCCTGCTTCCCCGGAGGGATGTGGGTTGTGACTTACCTATGTTGCTGTCAGCACCTCTCCTACGAGGGTTGTTGGAATAAGAAAAATATTGAGACCCTCCCTTCACCCCTGTGGGGGAAAGTGTGCTTGGACTCGCGATTCCCATTTCACTGGGCAGGAAACCAGTCTGTAAACAAGGAGACAGAGAAGCCCTTCCATGTAATTATGCTGTAAAACCATCATGGCCATTCCAAACAGAAGCTGCCTTCAACAGCTTTCACACGATTCAGCCTCAAATCAAACCTGAGGGCTGTAAAGAAGGAAAAACACAAATGTGCAGTCAGGAGGGGGCTTTTCCTGCCAGAGATTCAGAGGCCCCAATCCCCCACTTCTAAATATGCATCCACAAGCTACTGTGAGTGCAAACTTACAGATGCAATTAACTGGGAGCACAGATGACAGCAGCCAGACTGCTGATCTGTAGGAGCAACAGTCACAGTTAGATGGCTTCACTCTGTCACTTGTGTCTACGGCTGACGGTGGGTGGTGGTGCAGAGTGAAAAGGTGGTTCTGCGACTCAGGCACCAACGCTGCTGAGAAGCCCTAGTACACCAGGAGCAACAGCCATGTCTGAGCTCATGTATGTAGTGTATCACCACTTGCTAGCAGCAAAGGAAAGCACTCTCAACACAAACGCTCTGCACCCTCAGTGCTGGTGAAATGGGTCCCACAGCAGTAGCAACCACAGAAGCAGACAAGCAGAAGATTCCTCAAAAAGCTTGGTTCATATGCAGCCAAGGTCAAGTGGAAAGAGGAGTTCACGGGGCAGGTGATTCAGGATGGCCTATCCCCCACGCATTAGGGACAGGAACTCTCCCTTTATTTGCCTGCTCTCCCAGGCTCAGGTTTTCAGGGGCGGGACTGTCTCCCTCTGTGTGTATATGCAGCACCCATTATAACTGAGCCCCAATTTCAGGTGGGCATCTATGTACTACTACTGTTATGTCCCATCAATATGCTACTTTGCCTAGTCTGGCTCTTTCTGCTTTATTTTGTGGAGTCCTAAATTCCCGGTTAATGGCTTTTTAGGCCTTTGGCCAATCAAATGACTTGTTTTACTTGGGAAATTACATTAAAACCAAAGATTTCTCCTCTCCACACCTGAAATTATGATCCTCTAACACAATTTTCTGAAGTGGCCAGTAATTTTGAAAGCCTAACTGGGGACACATCTTGAAGAAGTTGGTCACTCCTCCCCAGAGAGTGCTGCGTGAAGACTAACTAGAGAAATTCAGACTAGAAAGAAGCTCAAAATATTTAAGAATACATTGGAAACCATCCTTTCAAATAACCTACTTGGGGACATGGTGAAGTCTGTCACTTGAAGTCTTTAACACAAGACTACATGTCTTTCCAAGCATACGCCTAGCTTAGTCAAACACCACGGACCTGATGCAGGCAAGGTGGGGTAAGAGTCAATGGCTGCTGCTACTTAAGTGGCCAGATGAGATCACAATGACCCTTCTGGCCTTAAAAATGCAGCTAATGAAGTCTCAGCATTGCTGGCTTACCATAATTTAATCTACAAACTTCTCTGTGCATTAATACACTATTATGTGTTGCCAGGAATACGGTGCCAGGATTACTTTCTCCCAAGTGTGTTGATTTGTTGGTTTTAAACTGAAAGAAGGGGCACACCCACCACCTCCAATCTACGCTGCGCAGGCATCCACCACATCACCAGGGATGCAAGAAACCAGCTGGCAGGCCACTGGCTGCTTCCACACTCCCGTTTCCCACAATCCACCCCACAGCTAGCTGAAGCTTTTACAGACTACAAACAGGAGGCTAACATAGATGGCCTGCTAGGAGTATAGCATGTCTTAAATTCAGACTGTTGGCGCACACATTGCCATGCAAGGGTGGCTCCCATATACCATTCTGTGTTCAGTCTACAAAGGAGTGATGTAGCTTTATCCCATTTCAGAGAGAAGAAAAGTGCAGAGATGGGGAGAAAATGCTACTTGCCCCGAGGTCCTCAGCAAGCCAGCAGGAGAGGTGAAACAGGACCTAGTCCAAACCCTAGTCCAGCATCTTACCACTGTACCACACTCTCTCAGCATTTGCATCGAGCATCTGGAAACATTCCTGGCAGGGGGCTTCTAAAAGCAACACCAGTGCAGTCAAACTCAATGGAAGCCATGATTAATCCAAATGCCAGCCTGCCAAAGCTTCAGCAGGATAGGCTGCTGGGTTGGACTAATTAGTTCTCTTAGTCTCTCCCTCTTCCCCTGCCCCCCAATACTTTATTAAGAAAATTTAAATCCTTCTCTCAAAAGAGGAAAATCCTTCCTCCTGTTTATCTAAACTGACCTTGGAAGCAGGAAAAAACAAACAAACAAACAAAAATAACACATCAGTGCAAACCCAGCAGTATCCGTGATACAGCATGAATTTTACAACCAAAGCACCTACACATATTCCAAGAGAAAAGCAAGCAGGAAGTCTCTAGGAGAGACGATATTTAGCTAGGAAGAGAAGTTTACTCTTTCCTTGGGATTTGAGGAGATGAAGAAAAGCCCTTATATAATAAAAATCTCTCACTGATAATCTTCCACAGGTGAAGAACTGCAATAAAGAAGGATTTAAATTTCAGAATAGCTTGATCAAAAATATTTAGAGCTGGCTATTGCGGGGGGGGTGGGGGGGTGGCGGGGCTTGCTCTGAAATCTGCCTCTGAAAGGGGTCGGGGGAAGCTCATGTATTCACAGCTGGTAAAATTATTGCAATCTGTTCCACTGGTCAGGTTACCTTTGTGTTTAAAAGGCTACACACCACAAAGTGACACAGCCAAGAAAAGCAAAAAAACCAGGTACCCCAGAGGAGATTATGGAGGCTTGGGGCTGCCAGTTGTTACTGCTTTGTTCCTTAAGCAGGTAGCTTGAATAGTCTGACTTTTCTGAAACTTGCACTCTGCATGAATGTTTTAACACCGCTTCCTGGAAAATTATCATTTTTTTTTTTCACTTCTCTAGCCCTGCTCCACAACTCTCCTCCCCCCCATTTGCTGGATAAGGGGAGTTGAGGGTTAAATGAAATAGTGGCTTGGAGGCCTCCTACTCCATCTGGAACATGCAAGGGCGAGTGGTTGGGAGAGGAATGTGCTTCTCTCTGAAGCTCCCTGTCCAGTCCACATGAGGACTCAAACACACACAGCGCATCTGCTGTGCAACAAGTCTCACAAGCTGCAGAAGAGACACGAGCACGCTGTCAATGCAGGTAAGCAATTCGGCAGGCAGAAGCATCGGCCATTCTCCGAGTCAGACAGAAAGCGAATGTCCAGGAACTACCGCTTGTCTCCAAACAATTTTGGTGTCTGCCCTGTATCAAAAGCAGCTGCTCCAAGGGCAGGCTTGGACAGTCTCATCCTGTGGACTATGTGATCTGCACCTCTTTCGCCTGCTCAATGCCTCCACGCTTCAGAGAGGCCTCCCCAAAACTGCAATACAAATCAGCCCACCCCCTTTGTTAGCTTATATCCCCCCTCCCGTCCTCCCCTCTCCCCCCCCAAATAAAACCTCGACAAAATCATAACATTAAAGAACAAGGCCTGGCATCGGTCCCATTTTTATTTTAGCAGCTTCAGTGGTAAATTAAATCCACGCTGGCACAGACAGCCAGCACAGCTGTTTCAGCAAAGGAAACATCCTCAGTTCAGAGGAGAGGAAATTATGACAAATTTGTGTAAAATTAAAACACAGTTTTTATTAAAGAAAAAAAAGAGTGCCCAGCCCAGAATTACTCAAGTGAACAAAGATGGTGGGACTGTTTCTGTTGCACAGTCCTTGAATGTTGACTTAGGTCTCCAGAAGGGGCAGCTTCAGTAACATGCATCCGAGCAGAGGCGCTCACTTCTTCCCTGAAAAGTTATTTTTGGGTGCTGGCAGGGAGAGGCCACATAATCCAAGTAATAGTCCAAGTCCAAAGTGAATGAGCTCCATCCTCCCCTCCCCAAACATCCAATACGAGGTGCCCAGGTTACAAGGATGCAAAGAGTTTGCCACCAGCTAGCGCACACCTCACCCTGCCAGAAGGGTCACATGGGAGTCAAGCTCGGTCCCACCAAGTTCAAAGGTCCAGGGGACACACCTGCATGGCCCACACTTCAGGATGGAGCATGAGAAAACAAACATTACAGGGAGGTTTTTACACCGTCAAATCCAAGTGCCTTTCAGCAGTGACACGCATCTGCCACATGTGGTTCTCTCTCTTTCCAGGGGAGAAATGGTGCATGCACTGCAGTCATTTCTTTTAGGAGGACTTTTCCCGTGTTAAAAGTAAGAGGCACCTTGGTCTATGCCAAAAACCACCTCTAGAGAGTTAATGAGGGATACTATTTGTTCTAGGCATTTCAAAACCAGGAGGTGAACAATGTGAATTACTGACTAGCCCTGGAAAGAAGACAGGAAAAATGGGGGAGGGGGAAGAGGCTTGCAAAGAGGGACATAGAGCAGTCAAGGGTTGGAGTGAAATTTCTCAGGAATTTTAAGGAGATCTGGATGCCAAAATCCACCTTGGGTTTAGTGCAGGGGAGGGCAATTATTTCAGGCAGAGGGCTGCACACTCAGTTTTGGCAGGCTGTCGAGGGCTGCCCCCTGGTCACCATCTTGGGACCAAAGTCCCAATGTCTTGGGACCAGTGTCCCAGGGCCAGCACCAGTGGGGCGCAAAGCGGTGAGCCAGGCTGGGCTGCACCAGCAGGGAGAGGGGCGAGCTGGCCCAGCTCCACAGAGCCCCTGCTGGCCAGGGCCCCACGCTCCTGCCACCCTGCTCTGGGTCCTGCCCGTGCGGGCCCCGTGCTCCCGCACCTGCTCACTCCCAGTGCCCCCCAGCCCTGTGGGAAAGGTGGAGGCAGTGCACAGCCCCAACCCCCTGCTCGCCAGCAGGGAAGAAGCTGGTGCCAAGTGCGAGGGAAAAGCAGCCCTCACCCGCCCCATGGCCGACGCTCCCTGCTGCAGGCACTTGCAGCCCACATAGGGCTGCCTGTGCCTGCTCTGGACAGCCCCATTCAGGCTGCGAGTGGCTGCAGTAAGGGCCATTGGCCACAGGGCAGGCGGGGGGCTGCTTTCTGCCACCCCCCACTCAGCTTTTCCCTGGGGTCCTCCCCCTTACCTGAGCTTCCTGCGCA